TTTATGAGGTGTCTTTTTGGATATATAGGGGTCAGGGAGCTGCTTGAGGAGACGGTCTCTTCTTTATAGGAGCTCAAATGGTGAGCTGCGAGCTCTGTTGTTGTTCATTCAGAGCTGCTAGGCAGGTACTTTTAGGTCTGCTGCAGCAGAACTCATAAACTGCTTTTTGTTCCCAGGTGCTCTGTCCCAGGGATTTAGGTCTTAATTTATGAGTTTCCGTTATGCTGCCGCCTTCTTTTTTTTTTTCTTTCCTTCAGACCTGCCCAGCCCAGCAAGGAGGAAGCCTAGTCACCGTCGGCCTATAGCAGCTTTGCTGAGCTGCTGTGGGCTCCGCCCCGCTGCCAGGTGACCTTCCCTGCAGTCCTGTTTATATGGGTGTAGTTAGAACTGCTTTGGCGATGGTGGCCCACCACTGTTGGGGCGGAGTCTCTGCTGTGGTGGGTTGCCTTGGCAACGGCCGGCTGCCTCAGCAATGGCGGGTTGCCTTGGCAACCGCGGGCTGCCTTGGTAATGGCGGACGCCCCTCCCCCACAGAGCTGGACCGTCCTGGGTTCAGCTGCGCTTGCTGTGAAACTCTCAATCCAGAGTTTCTGGTTGCTGTTCTTTTGCGGGGGTGGGGCCAGCCGAGCCTGATTGCCTGGCTCCCTGCCTCAGAGCCTTTTTTAAGTTGGTGTTCCAGTCGCCTGTTGAAGAGGCGCCGGGGTCTGTTTGTTTTCCCCTGCGGCCACTCACTGCGCTGGCTTAAACAGCGGCACTGAGGTTTGTGGCGCTTTTATTTTGCCCTTGAATCTACTGTCCTGGTTCTCTGCTCAGTCCCCTTTTTGAACGGGCGTACGGGCGACTTCCCGTGGCTCCAATCGCCAGCCAAAAGGGCCCCCGGACCGGTGAATTTTGTACGGGAACCGCGGCTCCGGGGCGCCGACAAAGCAGCCCCGCGGGGCAAAGCAGCGGTGCCGGCCGGCACAGCTGCGCTGGCGACCGTGGAGCACCTCCACCCAGGAATTTCCTGGTCTGTGGACAATAAAAACGCGGCGTCCACTCACCCTCTGCGCTTTCACTGGGAGCCGCAATCCTGAGCTGTTCCTAAACGGCCATCTTGGATCGTCCTCCTGTTGTTGTTGTTCAGGAGGTCAAATTTCTTACAGCCAGACACTGCAGCACAGCTTCCCAGGGTCTCAGCACCCCCTGCCCTGGCTGACATTCCCTCCCTGCTCCCCTCACCAGGCCCCTGGCCCCACCACACAGCTGAGCTGGCCCAAGCCAAAGAGTTGCTGGAGCAGCAGCTGGAGTGGATCAGGCCCTGCTGGGTGGCAGGGGGCGGGCCAGGACCTAGTGGTCAAGATCCAGAACCTGAAGGAACAAACAAGGAGGCACTAAGAGAGCCTGTGAGAAGACACCCAAGCTTTCCACCAGTGTCCATGGCACCCCTCAGCACTGGAAATACTGTGCACCATCCCCCAGGAGCCCCAGCATCAGAAATATCCCAGCTGCTCCCAGTCCACTGGGAAAATGGAAGAGACCACAGAAGGCCAGAAGTTGGCAGTGTGGTGGTTAATACTATGTCAACTTGGTTGGATTGAAGGATGCAAAGTACTGATCCTGTGTGTGCCTGTGTGGTTGTTGCCAAAGGAGATTAACATTTGAGTCAGCGGACTGGGAAAGGCAGAGCCACCCTCAATCTGGGTAGGGGGCATCTCATCAGCTGCCAGCATGGCCAGAATATAAAGCAGGCAGAAAAACATGAAAAGCCTAGACTGGCTTAGCCTCCCAGCCTACATCTTTCTCCCATGCTAGATGCTTCCTGCCCTCGAACATCAAACTCCAAGTTCTTCAGCTTTGGGACTCAGACTGGCTTCCTTGCTCCTCAGTTTGCAGGTGACCTATTGTGGGACCTTGTGATCATGTGAGTTAATACTACTTACTAAATCCCCATATATGTATCCTATTAGTTCTGTCTCTCCGGAAACCTCTGGCTAATAGAGGCAAATAGTGGGGGAGCCAGGGCTCTGCAGTCGCAGTCCCATCCTCCCTTGACCTCACAGCAGTGCAGCTCAGCCTTACAGGAATTTACCCTGGATCATGTCCTAAAATAACCTCCCCAAACACAGTAAGAAGATGTAGCACTTACAGATACCACAGACACACATGTCTTCCATTTCTAGTTAAGATGTTAAAAATTCTGACAATCAAGAATGGGGGTTCAGGGGTGGTGCTGATGCAGAGGAGGGAAGCCATGGGGTGGGGGCTGTCAGGGGTGGGAGCAGTGGTGTCTCCTTCACCCCCACCCTCATGTCCTCTCCTGAAGGACAGATGGTCACATTCCAGAATTGGTGAGTCCTCTACTGCATCTGTTCAACTGAAGAGAAAATATGGCATGGTCAGTATAAGGCACGAAAAGGGGAAAGTGAAGCAGGAACACACAACACACATGTAGACGCTGGTGTACTGTGTGGATTCAGAGGATAGACTCGGGGCTGAGGGAAGGGATGTAATATGATGAGAGAAGACAGAGACCCCACATGGAGGCCAGGAAAACAGCCCAACACAGCATCAAAGGCCAGAGGGCATGAACTGCTGAAGTGTCCATTATGTATCAGGTACCCCTGACCTACATGATGGGCTTCAGAACAAACACACTAAAAAACAGGGAGGATCTAAAAGTTTCGTGAGCTCACCACTCACTGTGGAGGAGACGTCTGTCTCATCAGACAGTTCCTAACACTCACCTCAAAGCGATGCTGCCCATCACTCAGGATCCTGGCATCATTCTCATGTGACGCGAATGTGATAGCCAAGCCCTGACCAAACCAGCCTGCTCTGGCCACCTGAAAGGAGACAGGGAGTAGAAGCAGAAGACCCCAAAGGGGGAAGACACCCAGAGGAAGGGATGAGGATATAAGGTAAAAAAGATGAAAAAATAAGGAATGGGAGAGTGGGTGTCCTTCTGGGTGTGGGCTAACCTGATGCATGCAGGTGTCAGAATCCTCATGCATGTCATAGATAAAGGCAGTGTTCATCCACTTGATGTCTGTGACTTGGCCAAATAGGTTGGTAACCATAGAAAATCTTTTGTGGTCATTCTTGGACACACGTGCAGAACAGCAAACAATTGTAGTCACCTGAGGTGGTTCCTTGGCTTCCCGTTCAGTTTTCCTTAGGCCTCAGCTGCTGCCATCACCGCTGGCTGCCCTCCCCATTCTCCTAAATTCCAGATGGGTGTGAGGAGGTAAGGGCAGGAAGAAATAGTGGATTGTGGATTGAGGTGCTATTTCCCACTGTTGGCGGTGATGAGGGGACAGATTCATAAGCTAGCATTGAAGAGGCTCCTGCCCTTTGCACAGCGTGTTTGGTCACCCCAGTGCTCAGACTGAACCCTGAAAAGAAAGAGGAACTTGACCGTCTACAGAAAGTGATAGTGCTGAGAAGGAGTGTAAGTGCCTGCAGGGTGATCACTAAGGTCACCTGAGAGGGTGAGACAGGTGCCTGGTCCTAGACTTGGGGAACTTCTCCAGCAATTATGCAGCCTGTCATCTGTGCCTGGCATTTCCATTGTGTGTCTGACTTTGGCTTGGAGGAACAGGGTCTGAGGAGTACAGGGTGAGGAGGTGAGGTCTGGGTGAAGCTCAAATTGCCAGTTGGCAGGGATATTCCCACCAACCTGGTCCTTGTTGTCTGGTCCATTGTCTGCTGACACCGGCTCTGCCAGGCCTCTGCCCTCCCCCCACCCAGCCCCCAAGTTCCAGGACTCTTGGCACAGAGTCCTGGAACTTGGGGGCTGGGGGGGGAGGGCAGAGGCCTGGCAGAGCCGGTGTCAGCAGGTCTCCTCCATTCTGACGTCACCACTTCAGAGCACCTGGAGGAAAGCTGCTTCTCTGTGGAGTCCTCAGGTGTCCATGCAGCTTCTTCTGTTGTCAGCCTTGCCTGTGTTCCTGTGTGTGCTGAGAAGGGATGGGAGGGGGAAAACATCACCAGGCACTTGCTTGGGCATCCTCATTCCCTCCTGAGACACACCCGGCCCACTACCCACAGAGCCTGACCACCTCAGGGAAATTAGAACCATGGCTGCAAAAATCCTCCTGGAGTCCAGCATGTCAGGTTCCCAATCTGGGTCGAGAGGTGCCCCCTTCAACCTCTCTGCCTTTATGGAGAAGGTGACTCACCATTTTCATTACTTTGGCAGCGTCTGTGATTCCATGAACTTCAGCTTTAGCTCTGTGGAAATCCCCTGTGCCTATGTAAGCCAGACTTCACTGTTATGGCTTGCACTCAAATAACTCAAGCGATTCATTTACAATTTGTACAGTTCCTGTGGGGAAAGGGAGGGAGAGTTAGATACCATCACATTTTTCTACCTGCTAAGCAATTTTGAGTAAGATGATGCTTTTTAAAGGCATGCTTCCTCCTGCTCGCCTCCTGCCTCCTGCCTTCTGCCTTGACAGGTGCATACCCACCTGCCCTGGAGACAGCCTCAGGCCTGAGTTGGGCACTGGAGCCCTGCACCATGCCCAGGGAGAGGAGGGGAGGTTGCAAAGGAATGGGGCAGCAGGAAAGAGGGAAGTGGCACTGATTTCTCTGTTTGTTCCCGAAAAAGGAAGGAAATTGTGGCTTTTATTTTTCAGAGCCCAGTGGACAAATTGCCAATATTGACAGGACTGTGAGAGGCCAGGGTGGCATTCAGCCTTGGGACAGTAATGCAGTCTGTGCAAACCCCTGCTGCTTAATCCCCACATTGACAAAGATGATAGGCTGTCCTACTCAAATTCTATGCGTATGTCTCAGCATTTCATATGATCCAGAGGCTCACAGACATGGGCAAACAGAGACGAGGTCTGGAAAATCATGTTGAACAAGCAAAGTCATACTTATGGGATAAGCACTCTATGCTGTGGCACCCTCTTCTGCAGCCGCTTCTGGATTGGCTAATGGAGGTGCATGAGGTCTACAGCCTTCACAGAGAGATAGTCTACTTCACAGAGGATTGCTTTGATCAAAACATGAAAGCACAGAATGTGTAAAAACACTTTTACAGATGATTGGGATTTTATCCTTATTTACTGCAGACAAACTTGAGGAAATCTGTTCTTCACAATTGCACCAGTGTGCAATTTTGGGGATTGTTCAGGAGATAAAATTCTTTCTGTGGAATGAATGAGTATAAAGGCCCCTGAGTGGTGTTTAAGTACCCTGGCCACTGTGTCCTGACTGAATATATATATGGCATCTCTAAATGACTTACACAAAGTGCTATTGCCACAGCATCCCCAGCAAATGTTTACAGATTGTGGGGCTTTTAGATCTCTGTGTGCTGGATGCTGACTGCTTAGAATTTTCTTAGGATGTACTCACTGCTTCTGCCTCATATTTCTCTTCACTTGAATTCACACAAATGGTTTAAGAGCATCAGTGGTGTGACAGAGAGAACTGTGTCAAGTGGATGGTTCCATTTGCCATGGTTATGGGGGAGACTGGCAGCTCAAAAGTGAAGCGCTTCACAGGGGTTCCTGCTGAAGATACACACAGCATACAGACCCACAGACACAGCTTGGCTTTGCTGGACAAAGCCCAAAGACAGCCACATCGTCTGCACAAAACAGGATATCTCCATTCTCCATTGAGGTCCTCACCCCTCTCCACAGCACAGTAAAATGCACAGCAGAGGACAGGGAACACTGTGGCCACACCAACATTCTCCACCAAAGACACTGTGTGGAAGGGGCTGCTCAGCTCTGTTCCATCTACTGCAGCAGAGGCGTGTGTCAGCTTTTACAGACATGTAAATGGAATATGGCACCTCTTCTGCAGTAGAAGTGTTTCTGTGGATGGCATTGGGCAGAGAGAAGTGGTTTTTATTGAATGCTTAGAGTTTGTTTGTTTGTTTGTTTGTTTTTGAGATGGAGTTTTATTCTTGTTGCCCAGGCTGGAGTGCAGTATTGAGATCTTGGCTCACTGCAACCTCCACCTCCCAGGTTCAAGTGATTCTCCTGCCTCAGCCTCCCAAGTAGCTGGGACTACAGGCCTGCACCACCAAGACCAGCAAATTTTTGTATTTTTAGTAGAGACAGGGTTTCACTGTGTTGGCCAGGTTGGTCTCAATCTCCTGACCTCATGATCTGCCCATCTTGGCCTCCCAAAGTGCTGGGATTACAGCATGAACCACCGTGCCCAGCCTCGGTATACTTTCTTTCGTAGGCCGGGCTAAAAGTCATAAAGAATCTGTAATCAGTGTTATTTAATACTCTTTTCACCCTTACCCAAATCTTATCACAAAGAATAAATGAATTTCTGTTTGGAGAACTTGTTAATGTAGTGGCCTAAAGCTGTGATTTTAAGAAGAAAATGCACAATTAAGTTCTATGTAGCTGCATGGTGTCAGTATACAGTCTGTTCCCTGGCTATTGATGGTACCACTAAGTGCCTTACTAATGGTCACTGTCCACCTGAAGGCCTAATGTGTACAGCTCCCATCATTGTTATTATTATTTTGAGATGGAGTCTTGCTCTGTTACTCAGGGTAGAGTGCAATGGTACAATCTCAGCTAACTTCAATCTCTGCCTCCCAAGTTCAAGCAATTCTCCTGCCTCAGCCTCCCAAGTAGCTGGGATTACAAGCATTGCATCATATTTTTTTGGATATTATTGAGGTGGTGGCCTTAATAGGTGGCCTATTGAGTCTTGTGTTTCCCTTCTAACAATGCTTCATCATGTGTGATTTCATACAAGGGAGCTTGAATGAATAAATAAATAACATTTATTTAAAAAAAAAAAAAAAAAAAGAAAAAAAAAAAAAAAAAAAAAAAAAAAAAAAAAAAAAAAAAAAAAATTTTTAAAAAAAAAAAAAAAAAAAAAAAGTCATGCTTTCGGGTGAGGGCAAACTCCAGGATATTTAAGCGAATTCCCTGAACAATGTGAACACTGTAAGCAGGTGGGTGCATTGCTCTCTGATGCTGTCTCCCCATAGAGCCTTTGTTCACCCTCCACCACCCTGCTCCCTGCACTAGGAGGCTGACCATGACAGGTATAGCCTCTGCTCCTTCACCATCTGGCTTCTGCTTGGGTTTGGATGATAACAGGCACCTGCAGGAGATGGGAGTGTGGGAGGAGAAGTAACTCAGGGTTTCATTTCCCTCACACCCTCTGGGCAGCTCTGTGGTTCTGTAATCACTTCAGGCCTCTACCTACAGCCACAGGCATGTGGGGCTGCCCCTAGTGAAAGCTACAGATTTCCTTGAGTTCTGAAAACTGCTCCTTTCCTTGCTCTTTTATCATCCCAGGGAGCTTCAGTGCCCCTTGTTACTTTCTTAGCCTTGCTGGCATCTGTGTAAAAGGTACAATCTCAGGCCGGGAGTGGCGGCTTATGCCTATAATCCCATCATTTTGGGAGGCTGAGGTGGGTGGATCACCTGAGGTCAGGAGTTCAAGACCAGCCTGACCAACATGGAGAAACCCAATCTCTACTAAGTATACAAAATTAGCCAGGCATGGTTGTTCATGCCTGTAATTCCAGCTACTGAGGAGGCTGAGGCAGGAGAATCACTTGAACCCAGGAGGCAGAGGTTGCAGTGAGCTGAGATTGCCCCATTGCACTCTAGCCTAGGCAGCAAGAATGGAACTCCGTCTCAAAACGAAAAAAAAAAAAGAAGAAAAACGGGTCATTTCTTTACTGCCAGGTCCCTGACTGACCACACAGTGCTCCCACAAAAGGAGAAGTGACAAGAATGTATTTAAGACATTGCATTAACACATTTATTGATAATGTTAATTTCTAAAATTGACTTACAACAATAAAAAGGGAAAATAAGATGTTCTGGAAACAGAGCAGGAAGGAAGGCAAAGGTGGAAACAATCAATTTGGGGTGTCTGAGAAGCCCCAAGTGCAGAGGCTGCCCCGAGTCTTTTTAGAAGACAAGAAACAGAACTCACAACCCAAGAGTGAGAGACAGCCTGGCCAGAGCAGGATGATGACGGCTCTCCTAGGAATACTATTCCTGTAAATCTCTGATGAGAGGGACGAGGTCAGTGTGTGAAAATACAGACACACACAAAGTGCAGCTGAGGGCAGGATGGAGAGCTGCCATTCCCAGCCCTTGACCTCCTTGGACTTGGAGAAAGGCTCTGCCTGGAGATGTGTGAGGCCTCCGACCTGGAGCAGCACAACCCCTAAAGACCAGGCACAAATCACAGCACAAGGAGGGATCTAGACAAATAGAAAAGAAATGACCATAGCAGGAGCTTTATGGAAAACAGAGCGAGGCCGCACACCACTCAGCAACTGGCCCTCCTCCCACCCTTTTCTCCCCACCTGCCTCTGCCTCAGCACAGAAAATCCTTAGAATCCAAAAAACGGAACCTATCCTCCATTTTTTTTTTTTTTTTGAGACAGAATTTTGCTCTTGTTGCCCAGGTTGGAGTACAATGGTGCAATCTCGGCTCACTGCAACCTCCACCTCCCAGGTTCAAGTGATTCTCTCACCTCAGTCTTCCTTGTAGATGGGATCACAAGTGCCCGCCACTACCATCAGCTAATTTTTGTATTTTTTAGGGATAGGTTTTTGCCATGTTAGCCAGGCTGGACTCAAACTCCTGACCTCAGATGATTCACCCACCTCAGTCTCCCAAAGTGTTGGGATTACAGGCATAAGCCACCGCACCGGGACTCCATGTTCTCTTAATAGTTTGTAACATCTTAGCACAGC